TCGCTGGCTCACCTACCTGCTGACTGACCTTGGAGAGCCACCTCGTTCTCCTCCAGTGCTGTACGTAGACAACAAGGCCATGCTGGCCTTGTGTCGAGAGCAGCGTCTGGAGCACAGAACGAAGCACATTGCTCTTCGCTACTTCCTTGCTCGTGAGCTACAGCAGCGTGGACAGTTGCGGCTTGCGTACGTGGCCTCTGAGGCCAACACTGTTGATGTGTTCACCAAGGCACTCGCGCCTTGTGACCATCAGCGCTTCTGCACCCAGCTTGCTCTTCTGCCTGTCTTGCCTCACTTGCTCTCGTCTTGACTTCACTTGTACTGTGACATATATATACCTGCTCTTGCTTGTCTAGTTTTATATATATGTCTGTGCTCTTGCATGTGAACTGGCCTTTGGCCCTGCTCTTGTGCTCGGACTGTGTGGTGACTTTGTGATCCACCCTGAGCTTTGCTTTGTCTTGCTTGACTGGTCTTATGACCCCTTGTTCTCCCCCACTTTGCCTATGGGGGTGTGTCAGAACATATCTATAGCTTATACTATTGTGTAGGCTGTAGTGGGGTATCCCATAGGGGGTACAACCCAGTTAGGGTTTCCTATTTGTACTGACTTCATTCATAGTTCATTTCATTCGCGTTTCTTCTCACTTGCTGTCGTCGTCGTCACTCCCGAACAACGCATCACCGCATCTGCTGTGGACAAGGAAACAGGGCAGCACAAAAATGTTACGGGTTTTCGGGTGCATGGTACAGTACCGACCCCCAGAAGCACGAGCGGGAAGAATTTCACAATGGGCACAGTGGGGACTACACCTCGGCATCGAGAAAAACTACAACGCATGGAAAATCTTCGACGTCCACTCAAAGGAAACAGTAGTAGCACGTGATGTGATCTTCTACGAACGAATCACCCTTCAGACGTACCTTGCCAACTTGCACGAGAATCAGGACCCCACAGGTGGCTTTCGTGGTGACCGAGCCTTCGCCTCAGCAGCGGACGAAGCAGACTGGGATGAACAGAACGTCGACAACGCATCGGAGGAAGCCGGACCTCTTCCGTTCTGCTCTGTCGACGTGCCCATGGACGAAGAAAATCCTCGCGAAAGTAACAACGCCGAAGTCTTCTATCACTTCGCCGACAATGGTTACGTAACACCTGCAACAGCCAACACCAACGAAGCAGAAAGGATAGGACCAAATTTCACACCCGACCCAGAAGCGGGAGACGAAGCAGCTTATCCCGAGGACACAACACTCCCCCGCTACTGACAGACCGGACTGCAGATTCTCGGCTACGTCACCGCCGTCCATGGCTCTCCTCTTCCTAAAGAGCCTGCGACGGTTCAACAGGCTCTGGGGGGGGAACACAGGGAGAAATGGCGTGAAGCCATGGACAGAGAACTAAAGGCATTGGAGGAACGCAACACCTGGAAGATCGTTCCAGCAAGCATAGCGAGAAACAAGACCATTCTCACCGGGAAGTGGGTCTTCCGCATCAGAACGAAAGCAGACGGCACAATCAAGAAATTGAAAGCACGCTGGGTCGTGCGAGGATTTGATCAGGAACAGGGCCGGGACTTCACAGAAACGTTCGCCCCAGTCAGTCGACATACCTCTCTCCGAATCCTCCTCGCCGTCGCCGCCATGAAGAAGAAGAAGCTGCGACAAATTGATGTCGCCAACGCCTTCCTCTACACACCTGTCGACGCCGACATCTTCGTCGAGCTCCCTCACGGTACCCACGGGGAACCCAATCAGGTCTGCCAGCTGCTAAAGTCTCTCTACGGAATCAAACAGGCCCCACGGCTGTGGCAACAGCACCTACACACCCGCCTCATCCGCATCGGATTCCGCCAACTGCCTCATGACCAAGGCATGTACCGATTCACTAAAGGCACCAACTACATCCTACTCATCGTCTACGTCGACGATCTCCTCTACATCGGCTCCACCGACGACGTCACCACCTGGTTCGAAGGGGAGCTGCAGAAAGATCTCACGCTCACGGTTTCTTCTACCGTCACGCAGTACCTCGGGCTCAACATTCGTGAAGAAGAAAACGCAATCTATCTAAGCGCCGAGAAATACGCCGACACGATCGCCAAACGTTTTTCGCTCACACCTACCGCTATCGCCACGCCATACCGCTACACGGCAGGAAACGACCAAGGAAACTCTGTCCTACTTAAGACCGCCGGAATACGCGACTACCAGCGAAAACTAGGCTGTCTGCTCTTCGCAGCCGTCACCTGTCGCCCAGACCTATCCTACTCCGCTAGCCAACTCGCTACCTATCTCAAGAGGCCTGAAGCAGATCACCTAGCAGAACTCGACCGTGCTCTCCACTATTTCGTAAGCACAGCGACGATCGGCCTAACGTACCACAAAGACGTAACTACACCGACAAAACTAATCGGCTATGTTGATGCCGATCACGCCGGCGATCCAGATAACAGGCGCTCTCGCACTGGCTACGTCTATCGTCTTGAGCCTATCGGACCCATCTCCTCGAAGTCGAGTAAGCAGGAACTAATCACTCTCTCTTCAGCTGAAGCAGAATATATCGCCCTCTGCTCAGCCACCAAGGAAGGACTCTACCTTCGCGAACTGCTGGAAGAAGCAAAGTTAGCTGAGTTACCCAACTTCACCCTGTTCTGCGACAACCAATCTGCGATTCGCATCGCCAACAAAAGCGGATTCGCGAACAGAACGAAGCATATCGCTCTGCGATACTTCTTCGTGAAAGACGAGATCGAGAAAGGGAAACTCGAGTTATCCTACTATCCCACGTCCGAGATGGCAGCCGACTATTTGACCAAGAAGCTCGGAAAACAGAAGTTCGAGCACTGCATGCTGCTGACTGGACAAGGCCACGTCACCATCAGCGACACTCCAGAAACGAAGGGGAGTGTTGGGAACAATAAGTCTTAAGCGCCTCTGTCGTGTCGAAACGAAGGACACAAAAGCGAAGCAGTCCAAATCGAAGCATCGCGAGTCAACCCTCGGAGGTTAGAGTAACCGTCTGGAGGTTACGTGAAGGTCAAAGGTCAGCGACCTTTGACTTGACCAATACAGCGCGACAGCAAGGACACACAACTGACTCAACATTGAGCAGTTGCCCGAGTCGCACTGCATCGAATCGCAACAGCAAGGTAGTTAATTATATCTATTCGTATTCCTTGTATTTTTATATAAAGCCTTGTATCTGCCTGTTTTAATCAACTTACTTTGCCCTCACATACCAGCGCAAGGTGGTTCAAAGACCTTTATCAAACGCTTCTGCTATTACAATCCTACTCAGACTTTAACTCTACAAAGATCCTTAGGGCTTCTCAGCCCAACAGGAACGCATCTGAACCATCGGAGCAGACAGCATCAGGCAGCAGCAGGCAGGATGGTTTCGGCGGGAACAGTTTCGTAACTGTTCGCGCCGCACAATTGGGGATGTATTTGAATAAGGAATGTACCCCTTAGAGTACATGGCTAGTCTAGGTCTTTCGTATTTCCCTGTACTCGTATACAAATTCGATGTATGCATGTCTTAATCATCTCAAACATTTACAATTTTACATTCACTCTGCTATTGAGGTAAAGGGCCCACCAACACCACTTCTCTGCGTGCGAACCTTCCTGAGTAGATCCTAGGCCATGATCAACTTCTGATCGCAGCAACTTTGGCTGCCGATTCCACCAACGCGCCCTGTATACTCTGGGGAAAAATTCAGTCACTTTGTTTTACAAATGGTACAATTTTTTGCACTTTCTGGCCTAGGGAAAAAATCTCAGTACGCTTGCTGGGAAATGGTAAATGGAAAAAAGCGGCTGCCAATTAGTGCAAAAAGGGTATTTTACCCTGATATCGAGAGCCCTGGTCTACATGTGTTAATTATCTCGATAATTTTACATTCACTCATTATTAAGGTCAAGGGCCCACCACTGCACAACTCTTTGCGAACCTTCTTGATACGATCCTAGGTTACGATCAACTTCTGATCGCAACATACCCCACTGCTGTAACCATTTATGTCGAAATTCGATAATTTTCCTACTGATAGAGTCCGTACCCAACAACTAGAAATTTTCCACTGCTACACTCTCAGCGATCAACCTGAGCCAATCTTATGTAAATGTTTATTTAGCTTGTAAGACATTGCATTAAAGCCGTGGCCAAATATTTTATTCCATGCTATTGAAAATGTTCAAGAGTACCAAGCAATTTTCAAATTTGTAGTACTTCGTTTATGGCATTTTGAGGCAATTTATTTCGACTTAGTGCCTGCCTTTTTCGAATCCCACACTCCTGGGAACCTACAGCCCGATGATTGGTGCGGAAACAGCATTTCCAGGGGCCTTCCAAGCGGAAGGCTCACCACCACCGTGCCTCGTTATCAGTGCAGTAGTTTGTGGTTGACCAATCCCCAAACACATCGCTTGCCATACGCGAGCGATTGGTTTGGCCCCAGGTTTGGGTTGCGACTGGCTTCTTGCTGGGAGAAGCGCAACCCCTGCTGTTTGCGATGCCAACGGCCCCCGCTCTTCTCTATCTCTTGATGATGCTGTTCGCACGAGTTGAAGACCAGCTATTCGTAAGCTCCAACTAGACAGTACTTCAGTAAAGAGGTAATACGATTCGTACCATGTCTTCCTTCTTCCCCGCCTTCTGGGCCCCTTCACCTCCTCCGTCGCCAATCGCGAAGGTACTATCCGACGATTACCTTCTCTCGCTCGTGCTGCGCTCGCTAACGCGCGACTCATTCCATTACGCGCTGGTCTCCAAGCGATGGTACGCCATAGCGCGCCACTCGCTCGCGCACCTCGCAATCAAATCCAGGATCCAATTCTCTGATCTCCCAGACACGATTCGCAGATTTTCCTCGCTCACGCACATCGAGCTTAAAGAGTATCGCCTTATGGATGCGAGAGGCGATGCTCTCTTTCAATGTCTGGGCGCCACGTGTCCGCGATTGACGCATCTGACCGTAGGCTTCCAGCTTCTCATCATGCACGTCACTTGCAACGGCCTCTCGTCTCTCTTCCATGGCTGTCGCAAGCTCCGCGACCTCCGCCTGCTCACCCTCAACCTGCTCCCGCACCTCCCGCCCGCCGTCTCTCTCCTCTCCGACCTCACAACCCTCCATCTCTGCCGCGCCGTCGATAAAGACGAGGATCGATTCGAGCAACTCGTCCTGCCGCCTGAAAGCATCGGCGCGCTGCAGCAGCTGCAGGAACTCCGCGTTGAAACGGGATCGGCGTTCCAAGGTCTCCCGGATTCCATCAGCAGCCTCACGAATCTCCGACGCTTGAAGCTCATCCATCCCTCTCTCGTTCACCTCAATCCTTCGATTGGTTACTTACCGCAATTGCAAGACCTAGATATCGACATGGAAATGTTGGAGTCGATTCCGGATTCCTTTCAGCATCTCACCAGCCTTCGTTCCTTCTCGCTGCTGTCCTTTGGATTGAAGCGCCTTCCAGAGCATGTGATGGGGGCCATGACGCGATTGGAGAAGCTTTTGCTCCGCTGGCTGTCCCTCCACAACCTGCCCGACACCATCTGCTTCCTCCCCCTCTCCTCCCTCTACATTCGTAGATGCAATCTACTCACCTCCCTTCCTGATAACCTTGGAGCTCTGATACAGCTTCAAACTCTAACGCTCTTCAGTCTGCCCGAACTCTGCTGTCTGCCCGAGAGCGTGGGAGGTCTAAAGCAATTGAGATCGTTGGAACTCAATCATGTGGGTCTGCTGCAGCTGCCAGAAACCATCGGCTCCCTCACCATCTCCTCCCTCTCCATCCACTCATGCGCTGCACTCACCTCCCTTCCTAATAACCTTGGAACCCTGGTACAGTTGGAAACCCTAAAGCTTCACTGGCTGCCCAACCTCTGTGCTCTGCCCGAGAGTGTGGGCACTTTACAGCGGCTGAAAACGTTGAGAATCGAGCAGGTGGGACTGCTGGAGCTGCCCGAAAGCCTGTGCACGGGGAGCGTGAGGCACAGCCTGATGCGGCTTCACCTGTGCGGCTGCAGGGAACTGAGACGGCTGCCCCCCCAGCTGGCCATGCTGACGCGCCTGGAGGAGCTCGATACCGCCTGCACTCGCCTCCAGTCCCTGCCTCTCTTTGCTCCGCATCCCGCATTAGCCCTCACCTGCTCCCTTGCTTCTGGTCTCTCCATTGATCCTGCCGCTTCTCCTGACCTTGTGCATAGTCCTCCTCTTGACCCTGCTCCTGCTTCTGCCACTGTCGCTCCTACAGCCACTGTTGCTGGCCCCACCACTGCTTGCACTCATACCGATAAGTCCACCGAGCCACAGCCACAGCCACAGCAGCGCAGCGCACAGCAGCCGTGGGGCCTGGCGTCTCTCACCAGCCTAACACTGAGTGGTTCTTCACAGATCGCCTCTCTCCCTGATTCCTTCTCCACGCTCTCTGCCCTCTCTTCCCTCACCATCACCCTCATGCACGGCCTCTCCAACCTGCCACAATCCCTCGGACGACTGCAAAACCTCAGATTCCTGAAGCTCGAATACATGGATAAGTTATCTGTGCTGCCCAAGTCACTCGGGCAGCTGAAAAACCTTGAAACGCTGGAGCTGTGCTATTTGCCGGAGCTGAACTCTCTGCAAGGGTCAATCCGTTGGCTGCCCAAGCTGAAAGAGCCCTTGCTGGTTGACGTGGGGAGGGTGACTGAGTGGTGGTGGATTGACGACATCCCATATGTTAGGTCCGCCAGAATGCGCCTCATGCTTCACTGAACTCAAGGCTCCCATGCAGGTGCTGTCCTGTTACTTGAACGCTCAATCATCGCTTCATGGTCCAGAGTGGTGCTGGATTGATTGTCGAAACATGCCTGCTAATTGTAGCTATGGTTCTAGTGTTGCATGCATACGAAGTTACATCTCTGCAAAATTGCTTGCATCCTGGGCTGTAGAGCATGCACAATAACATTACAGGAGCTGCTAAACTATACGGGCAGAAACAGTGCATGCACCTCCAGTCCCCCATCAACTCACTTTATACAAACAACAAGTCCTCGTACCCCTCACCCAAGCAGCATTCCACTAGATTCCATGCAGCGCCACCCAAATCAACGAAACCATGCAATTCTACACCCCCAACAGATGCCTGCAATTCTGCAGCGGCGTCAATAAATATCATGCGGCACGACCATCTCGGACACAGCATGAATGGTGAACTGCGACCCGTTGAACAGATTTGGCATCACAATCGGTACGGGCACCCCGCCCTTGCCCTTGACGGCCACGAGCAGCCCGCCCTTGCGCCCGCGCTTCACCAGGTTCGTGCCCTCCAGTGTTCTCAGCCGCCGCCCGCGCGGCTGGTAGCGCAGGCGGCGGTAGTCGTAGCGGCCTTGCAGGATGTGGTAGGCGATGAGCTGCTGCTGCTTCTGCGAGGAGAAGGCCGCCATGAAGAAGCGGATGGTGCGCACGTGCAGCGGCAGCAGGATGGTCACCCCGTTCAGCGGGATGAGCGACGTCACTGCGGAAAGAAAACGGGGGGTGGGGGAGAAGAGGGGGAAGAGGGGGGAGGAGGAAGAGCATGAGTGGAGGGAGGAAAGATGGGATGAGAGGAGGGGACTGAAGGGGAGAGGAGGAGAGTAGAGGGAAGAAAATGGAAGAGGGGAGAGCAGGGGAGTGGAGGGAAGAGGAGGCCCAAGGGAGTGGCTAAACGGCGAGAGAAAGGGCCGTATGCGCAGGCGCTCATGCTCGTTGTTGCTGGGACAGTTTGAGGTGCAGGCGTTCCTGCACGGGAGGAAAAGCGGGGAAGGGAGGAGGGGGAGGGAGTGGAGGGGAGAGGAGAGGAGAGAAGGGGGGAGGTGGGGAGAGGAGGGGAATGGAGAGGGGAGGAGGGGAGAGACAGCAGAAATCAACTCGAGAAGCGAAGCTCGAACGCTACAGGGAGGGGGGACGCAGACTGTAGAGGAGCAAGAGGAGCGCTTTTAGCGTCTGCGGTGGCTCCCTGAACGACTGGGGAAGGTCGCGGAAAAGGGTAGATTCGACCCAGATCACCAGACTTAACTCGTTCTATTCTCCACTAGTCTATGCTAGGCTTGGTAGAGATTGAGTAAGCAAGGAAAATGTCATTCCAAGACTGAGCGTACGCGCGTTTCGGCTGATGGCCTTCGTCAGGGTCTGCAGTGGCTCCCTGAACGACTGGGGAAGGTCTCAAAAGGAAGGCTCCACTGCAAAGAAGGAATTTAAGAGGGGAGGAATGAAAACGAGGGGTTTGCGTATCCTGCACGGCGGACTGCACTGCGGACTGCACTGCGTCACTGCTGCCGCTGTGGCGGACGCGGCGACACCCAACGACACCCAACCCTAATCGTATGTCGCTTTCAGGAATTCCCAAAGACGGGCGCCACGTCCCTGCTGATGAAAACCCCTGCCCAGCGATACCCAACCCTAATCGCGATTTCGAGGAGAATCTGGAACCCCGCTGTTTCAACACCCACTCTCCCCGCAAGCAGCCGTACGTATTAGGTCAATGACGTCGTTGATTGGTCCAAATATCCGCATCTTCTTGAGCTGCTTCTTGGCCCGCTGAATCTCCCTCGCCATCTTCGTCGATATGCCCGGCTGCTGCGCGTGCGACGAGGGCAGCAGGGAGAGGAGGAGCGAGACGAGGACGAGCGCGACTAGCAAGTGGTATGGAGCGAATAATCGAGAGACGACGCGAAGAGCCATCGTAGCTTGGCTAGTGGACGAAGTAACGGGTGATGGTCGGGAACGGATGTTTAGACTTCTCTAAAGCCGCCTGCGACAACTTAGTAACTACTAATGGAAGGAATACAGGAGTCGCCAATCTGGCTTGTACGTGCGCGATCATGTGAGATTAGCGAGCCGCTCGAAGCGCAAGATTAAGGAAGCAATTTGTTATGTCGAATAGCAGGACAACAAATATCGTTGACAGAATCTTTGGAAGTGCTCGAAGCGGCAATACTTGAGATACTTGTAGGAGACCTAGGCTCTCTGCACAACACAACCGCAACCGTTGGTGACAAGGCACCGCCACCCCAGCAACCTAGCTTCTGCAGAACACCACCGACTGAGGGCGGGTCCAGCTCGTCACAACTCAGGTCAATATCAATTATTTTCTGTAGGGTAACCGCTTCAAGTTATGAGATCAGCCTAGTTGACGACTTGGTTCTCCTACATGCAAAACCAGTCCGTGGCAAATCACAGTTCTCACTCCAAATTCTCCGAACGAGTTGCAAACTGTGTAGCTACACCTGTCAGGTGCAGCAGAGTTGTTGTGAATGTGACGTCACACGACGAGATTTGTTACCGAGGCGGAAGCTTTGGCAACGATCTGTAGATCTTGAAAATCCGACCGGACCAGACTATACCTCTCAATGGCTCCTTGTATCCATCTACCCCTCCACCCCACTTCCATTTTGCGAGCACAGTATAGGAGAGCAGGAGTACCATTTTTTCACAGATGCCTTCGTCGTAAAGCATCGCTGACGCTCAGTAATAAATCTTCGTCTGCGACTTGTGCATGAGCATTATTTGGTGAACAATTCGCGGTCTCTAACTGTTACGGTCACCAGTACTTGCCAAGTCTGCGGCTTCCAGTAGCTAACCTTCGCCCATGGCGTCGCACATGCCAGCGGTAACGGCGACGAGGGATAGCGGGGCCGTCGAGCTGACGAGGCACCAGCACGGCAAGTCGCGCGTGCGGCTGGGGCGCGTGTGGCGGCGCGGCGGCGAGCACGCGATGGTGGAGTGGAGCATCGACATCGTGCTCGCGTCTAAGGCCGACGCGTCGTTCCTCGGCGACGATTGCTCCGCGGTCGTCGCGACGGATACAATGAAGAACACGGTGCGGGCATGTGAGGTGCAGTGCGGTGATGAGACGCGCAGTGCGGTGATGGTGAGGTGATCGAGCGGCGACGATTGCTCCCCTGTCGTCGCCACCGACACCATGAAGAACACGATGCGAGGATGTGAGATGCAGTGCGGTGATGGTGAGGTGATGTGCAGTGCAAAGCGGTGATGCGCGCGGTGAGTGACGACTGCTCTGCGGTCGTCGCCACCGACACCATGACGGAATCGGTGAGGGCATGTTTGGTGCAGTGCGGTGATGAGGAGCGCAGTGCGGTGAGCGACGACTTCCCCGCGGTCGTCGCCACGAACACCATGAAGAACACGGTGCGGATGATGGTGATGATGCATGCAGTGCAGTGCAGAGCGGTGATGAGGCGCGCAGTGCGGTGATGGTTGCGAGGATGTTGAAGTGCGGAGATGCGCGCTGTGTGGTGATGCGCGCACTAGGATGATGATGAGTCGCGGGAGTGCGACGGTGAGGCGCGAGGATGCGCTGTGCGCATTGTGCTGATGCGCGCGGTGCGGTGATGTGCGCAGTGAGTGGAAGAACAAGGTGTGGGGATGCGCGGAGTGCGGTGATGCGCGTGGTGAGAGGAGGAAAGTGGTGAGGGGGGAAATAAAAAGTATTGTAAGAGGCAACTGAAGTCGCGTTATGACAACCTGCTCTCCGCGTCGCCATTCATCCGACCATGACGAACGCTATGAGCGGAGAGTGAGGAGGCACCTGAAGCACCTGACGCACCTGACGCACCTCCTCACGGGGAGTGGGGACGCAGAGGAGGTGGACTCTTCTCACTTGAGGCGCCCTTGCTTCTGCGTGCGGTCGTCCCACACATAAGGACATGACATGCGACACATAATGACATGACATGCACCAGTCCATCCGACTAAAGTGCTGCATGCAGGATGGCTGCATGGTGCCAGCCACTGCGTGCGTGCTGCCACTGCAAGCAAGTTTTCTGCTGGCTTTCTTCACGCTTGCTTCTCCCTTTCTGCTTGTTGGTTCCTCCATGCGTGCAGGTGTATGTGCTGGCGAAGCAGTGCACCAGCGAGTTACCACCAGAGCTGTTCGCCATCAAGCTGGGCCGCCACTTTGCGTCCTTCTATGACGTGGTAAGCTCGCCCCCTCACTGACATACGTACGCACCCAGTCAGTCGTCCCCTCGGTTCAGTTCAGTACACATGCACCCGTGGACTCGCTTCCCCCCATCGCTTTTCCTCATCGCTTCCCCTCATTGCTTCCCCCATCGCTTGCCATACATGCCATGCCACCATGCACCCACCACATGCCACCATGCACCCACCACATGCCACCATGCACCCACCACATGCCACCATGCACCCACCACATGCCACCATGCACCCACCACATGCCACCATGCACCCACCACATGCCACCATGCACCCACCACATGCCACCATGCACCCACCACCCCCACCCCCCACACCCCACCACCAGGCGACAGCAGCGTCCATCCGCATTGTGGAGCAGCCGTGGCAGCGCGTGCACGTGGGCGGACAGCCACACGACCACGGTAGGCTGCAGTGGGGTGCTGTGCGTGCGTGCGGTATGGTGGTGGTGAGGGGTGGGGTGAGGTTTGGATTATTGGTGTGTGGTGTGGTGTGGTGCACGATGGGGTGGGTATTGGGGAGCTATGCGGGGTGGCCGCATATCCATGGTAAGGGGTATGTGTATCCATGGTAAGGGGTATGTGTATCCATGGTAAGGGGCATGTGTGGTAAGGGGGGGTCCGAAGAATTTCACATTGGTTTTGCTCGTTATTTTTACATGATTGCGCTCGTCAATATCGACTGTACGCCAATTTGTACTCCTGATCATTTCATGCCAACTGACCGAGTGTACATCCCAGATAGCTGACAAGGTACGATACTGAGACCAACTGCAGTAC